GCCGCCACGTGAAGGAGGTGGAGGGGGTGCGGGGGGCGCTGGGGGGAAAACACACGAGACATGAGGATGTACCAACACACGTTAAGATGACATCACCTCCCAACAGATACAAAGAAATGTGAACATATAGTGCCTGTTTTAGCTGCACTCCACTGGCTTCCTGTCCATTACAGAGTCATTTTAAACCTTAGGGCCTTGCACCACCTTATATCTCTGAACTCATACAGGTTTATTATCCTGAAAGAATGCTAAGATCCACTAATCAGCTATTTCTTAACATTCTTAGACCCAGACTGAAATCCTGTGCAGGTGGGGCGTTTGCTGTGGTGGGTCCTAAGCTCTGGGGTAGCATTCTTATGGATGTTAGATCCTCTTTGGACCAAAGTATTTTTAAATCTCCTCTTAAGACCCGTTTATTTGCACAGGCACTTAAATCCAGTCACAATTAGATTGGTGTTGCTATAGAAGTGTTTTAATGAGTTTTTTTATTATAATGTTGTTGTGAAGCATTTTGTTACTTGGTGTTTTGAGAAGTGCTACATAAATAAAATTTGGCTTCAGTGTTGTACTGGTAACCAGTAACACTCTCATACTGGTCACTGATATCAGCAGCACAACAAAGATCCATCTTTTGTCTTTACCATGTGTACACACATTCAGATTCAGGTCACTGTCTGCTTTTCTCTCCTACTTTCAAACCAGTGGAGGTCAACATGAATAAAACATAGACACAAACTATCACCGAGAATAAAACCGTCAGACAGAGAAGAGTGTTTCATCTGTAGTCTGAGGAAGGAAGTGATAGTTGAAGATAAAACTGTGAGAGGAATTTAAATGTGTTCATAAAAAGTTTGGTGCAACTTTAAAATGACAACAGTTTGTTTTATACTGCCAGTTTACCATAAGCTTTTTGTTATACTCGTGTATTTGCACAAAGTCCTTTTATATCACCAGAGTGAACCTGAAAATCCCAGATTTGTGATTTGACGCTACAAGATAATTCAGCTACTGTGTTCTCTGCTTGGTATTCTGTCACTGTAATCGTAAAATTCACACTCGGATCAACAATATGGATCACATATTTATTCAGACTATTATAATTAAAGCTTAATCAGATTGATTAAATTTTTACTGTAGAATGGATCAACACTTCGCAGTCTGTAAGATGGCCGTTATCCTACTGCTATCAAATATTTAACGGACTGTTTAAATTTCTACGGGGAGCTGAAATTCTCAATGGACTCTTCACCTTAACAAAGAAGAAAGTTTTTTTGAGTGAAAACTGTACGTTTTCTGTGGATCAAGACGTCTGGTGCCCCTGTTGCCGAACACTACCTCCTCTCTCCTCATCTGTCCCTCCCTCACCTCTGTCTTCCCTCCATAAACCATGTTCCCTCTCGCTCTGTGGAGGTGAACAAGCACGTCACAACTATATGGATTCATATAGGCTGGTTCATTATCAGTGGCAGCTATAACCTATGTATATTTTTCTACCAGTTGATAAATAAAGTCCTCAAAACTTCACTGGTCTCCAGCGCTTCACTCAACAACGTAACAGCCCGACTGAAAGCGTCAGATCAGCTGTCAGCTCCTGATGAGCTGGGAGGACAGCGCACGGACAAACGTTTTTCACCTGCCGACCGACACCAGAAATGTGCTACACAGCAAAAGTTAGCAGAATCGATTTCTATCTGCTGCACAAAAAAATGCATCAAAAATGTGCTTCGTCTGAGTTTACTGCACCTGTTAAATGTGACTGACCGTGCTGCTTTATGGGCTTCTCAGGCGAGTCACTGGGGCGCTTGATTAAATGATTGATTGGTTGGACTGTTATTTTTGCTGTAGCGTTAAAAGTGGAAACGCAGATTGTAAAAATTAGAATTAGGCCGTGCGATGTATCAGCTACCTGCAATTATCAACTGACCAACATCAGCACTGGCCTTTAAACACCCATCAAAAATAAGCTGAACCGTCCACAGAGAACAAGAGCAGCTCGGTTTCCCACCGTGCAGCGATCACTTCTGTTTTTGTTGAGTATTTTTAGAGAGAGTGTCCATGATTTCGAGTTTGCATCTTCCTTTTGTTTGTTTCATCTCAAGAACAGTCCAAAAACCAAAGACATTAAATACATGATGAAAAAAAAGGAGGAAAAAGCAGCAAGTTGCTGAATTGGTGTTTTTAAAAGATACTGAGCAACTCACCAGTGATAAAAAAAAAATCAAATAAAAAAAGATCCATCATTTCAGCTCTGACACCAAATATCTGTGCTAAAACAATGCAAAGATTAGTAAAAACATCAAACATCAGAAACAGCCTGACAGCGCCTGGCTCAGTCGCAGAGTTCAGGCATTGTGGCGATCCATCAACAAACACTGCACTGTTCCATTATTACTGCACATTAGTTTGATACATCAAAACGGGTGTGTGCGCGTGCACACACTCACCCTGCCTCCTCAGCTCGTTCTTGACGGCCTCCACTCCTCCCTTCTTCTCGATGAAGTCATATATGACCTTGGATGTCTCTCGGTCCTTCAGCTGAGCCTCGGAGATGCCGCACATGTCGAACAGGTTCTTCAGTTCAGGGTCCAGGTTGTTAAGCTGCAGCAGCGACAAGACACAAAACACGTTATTTAATCAATACTTAACCAGGGTAATCCCACTAAGGATGGCTAAGACAGAGGCATCAAAACTTCCAGACAAAAACAAACAAAGACACACAACACTGGAACAACAACACTAGATAAATCTGTAAAAGTTAAGAACGGAGGAGACTATCAAACAGTATCAGTATCAGGAACAAAAATAAACTCCCAGGTGACTGGAGCAGTGACATTCTGCTGCACATAAACTACACAGCAGCCATGACACAGAGTCAGTGTGACCCCTGGTGGCCAAGAGGAGGAAACAACCTGGCACCAACATTACAAACTGATTAACTCTGATTATGGGGCATGTCAGTTCATAACTTCCACGAAGGACGGTCTCCTGTATCCTCCCTCATGGCTCCTTCAGCAGCCTCCTCTCTCCTTGATCCTTACTCCTCAGAGCCGATATACGAGATGGAATGTCCTCAGTCGACCGAGGTCATAGGAACGATCATATAAGAGACTTTGGATGTATCCAAACATTAACCTGCAGCTCTGTACTGAAAACACTGACTCCTCATGCTGCAGTGAATTCTGGGAATGTCTGCTGAGTGAGTGATGTGTTGAGGATGCTGCTCACTCAGTCGGGTAAACAGAGACAATTAAGAGGCAAATGGTAGAAATGATCAGCGTCCTGCTTGTTGAGTCCATCAGCCTGAACACAGTGTTTGACAGTGGACAAACTCAACGATGACTCACACCAGTGGGTCCGTCTGCTATGAGAAACTAGTCAGGGCTTCTCAACTGCCTCCATTTCAAACATTTGACCATAAATGAGAACATTACCGTCTGTTTACAATCCCAAGTGGATGCTGTTGTTACATGCAGAACTCCCTCATTCCTTTCAAGGTTTTCCCACATTCGTCTGCTGAAGGTTTCTCTTTGCTTCCATAAAACTGGAGTCTTGACCCTACAGCTAGTGTAGAAACCAGTAACGCTCCATTATGCAACAAAAACTCCTCCCCACGTGTCTACTGACATATTGAGACAATTTCAGCACATTTGTCATCTCTGGAACTTCCAGTAACAGAGGAAAAGATAAGGTGTGTAAAACCTTTTCAGTAGGTTAATGAACTTGATTTACTTTTTAGCTAACAATTATTTTTGAAAGTCAAAACTTGTCTGTCTGGTGTTTTCACTGGTGTCCTACCAAACAGAGCTAATGATTGATTGTTTACTTTTCCCTGCTTCGTGTAGTTCTGGTGGATGCAATGCAAAATCTGAAACTTCTGTGTCCAACACCTGGAAGCCAGAGAACAAAAGTTTTACTATACAACAATCCCACAATATGGGCCCGTCACCACAACCAGAGGGAGTCTGTATTGTTTGGAATATTAGGCTGGTGGAGATAGTTATTTTGTACAGCGCTCCTCTCCAGTACTCCGGACGCAGCCTCAGACACCAATCGATGAAGCCAGTGGCTGAAAATAAACGAATAAAGCATGAAGCACAGGAGAAGAGCTGTGTGATGGATGTGCACTGAAACTCTCACTCCTAGCAGTTTGCGTGTTCTCAAAGGGAGAACCAGCTGTCATGAGAGCCGTACTGGATGTGGCTGCTGGGGTCTTTGCACCAGTAAAATAATAAACTTGTGAGAGCATCACAGCGCTCACTGTGATGCATCAGGATGATTTCAGTTTCTGATGTGGCACCGAATCACATGACAGTTGTACAAACACAACATCCTCACTAATGAACTCTGCTACAGCTACCCTTGTGGCTGAACACTGCAGCCTGTGGAGACGACCAGGTCCGGTGTGAGTTTTAAAGCCACGTCGATTAACTGCTTCATATCGAAACATCAGGTCAGGTGGGGAATGAGGAGAGGAACACAACACAACCTTTAATCTTAAGTGCCACAGTTATTAATAAGTGCACAAAAAGAGCAATGACTTGGATGATATTTATTTTATTAATTTCTTCAGTAATCTAATGGACTGATGAGCTGACGCCTGGTGCTCGGTGTCTGTGCAGCTTATGAGACGCCGCGAGATGTCTGTGAATATAAGCAGGAAGCAACAAGAGCCTATTGTGTGATTCCGTCATTCAGCCACCACACAGGTCACTATTGTGCTCCTGCATGTAACTGTGTGTGTGTGTGTGTGTGTGTGTGTGTGTGTGAAGGGGGTACTCACGTCAAAACCTGTGTTTGGGTCCCAGCCCACGTGACCGATGTGCCTGAAGAAGACAGGACAGACGTGGTAAGATCGCATACACATAAATATGCAGAAGTACATCAACTATTTATCATGTGCACACGGTCGCCCACATGCACATGCTGAATAGCGAGCCCACAGATGCTTGCGGTCAGATACCAGTCATAGAGACAGTGCGCTCATTAAGCGCTCTCAGACCGTTTACTGCTGCCATGAAGCCGAGTGCTACTGTCTATGACTGTACACACACGGACACTACAGCATCCAAACAACATTTTCAGGAGGTTTATTTTTCCCAAAAACAGTCAGTCACATGTTGCTTATTTGGACTGTTTTTTCCTTTGTGAACAAACCAGATCATTTCTGTCACTAGTCATGAGTACTACTGAGCATGTGAAAAGAATGGTACAATGTCTTCAGTGTCTCTGTAGGAGTCCGGTCTAAGTAAATCATTGCAGTGCCACTACCTCTGCTTTCTCTGCTTCACCATGGAGACACAAAAACAGAAAGGAGGTGTGGAGTGTGGCAGATGAGGGTGTTTACCAGGCAGGTGGGTTCAAATGAGTTGCATTTTGGGAAATGCAGGATTCAGAGCTCAACCCATATTAGAGGATATCTTTGTGTCTGCTGCTTCAGTTCTGACCAACTACTTTGATAACTGGTTAACCCCGTGGTTCTCAAAGTGTGGGGTGTGCCCCACTAGTGGGGAATAAAGATATGATAGGTGGGGTGCAATGAATGGAGAAAATTAGAAATGGGTCATTAATACAAGTAAATTAAAACAACATCAGTTCGGGGCCCGGGAGAAAAAAAGTGGAACCATAGTGCAACAATAACAGTTTAACGTCAGCATGTTAACTGCCGCGCAACAATATAAGGAAACGTTCAGAGAGGGCCAATATAGTGTACGTAGGGGGCATAATAACGTAAATGGATACATTTGTTACATGGACCACAAAAAAAGCAAACGATTCAGCACAAGCAGACAAAGAAACGACAGGCAGTAGCCTTATCAACCAAAAAGGCAGCTGGAAAAAAAAAAAAACAATATGATGAAGCCTACAGTATCTTGCGCTTGGATTCACGGTGGGAATGGTGGGGGCAGAGGAGGGACCCATGTGTGTCTTGTGTCTTAAACCACTGGCAGCAGACGGCATGAGGCCCAACCAATTAAGAGGACATTTAGAGACAACACACCCCAGTCAGTTGCTGGGCAGCTCATTCTCCTTGTAACTGTAGACATGGTGTCGATTATGCTGGATGAAACAAGTGCTGTAAAGTTGAACACTATCCCCCTGTCAAATGATAAAGTTGCACTTATATTTTATCTGTTTTCAACTTAATGTTATTTGATATTTCAATCAATTTGAAATTTTAAAATTGGCCTATTTCATTATAATTTTTGACAAGTGGGGGTTGAAAATTCGCCCACCCTCTTAAGTGGGGAATGACAACAAATGTTTGAGAACCATTGGGTTAACCGCTCAACTAATGCAGTGATGTCTCAAGCAGACGTGCCATCATTTCTCTGCTTTTTGTTTTATATAACTGCAAACTGAATACCTTTTACTTCTTTGATGAACAAAACAAGACAAACATATCACCTTGGGCTCTGCAGGATGCTATTTTCTGACTTTTTATAGATGAACCAATTTATTAATCAATAAAATAACAGGCAAATTCACAGATAATGAAAATAGCTGTTAGTTGTGGCCCAACCCCAACTTTATGAATCTGAAATGCTAAATCACTGCAGTAACCCTTTAATTTCCCACCTTTGGTTTCACTTTATCAGTTGTCCTTTGAAATAAACTTCAACTTGTCACAGTCCATACTTAAAGTACTCAAAGTTTAAATGTTTCTTACAGCAATTCTTTATTGGAAAACCCCCTACACACTTTTCATTATAGTTTTCCAGTGACGTCTGACTTTGCACTTGCTCCCTTGAACATGTCTGAGTGACTGATATCTGAATATACTGCGTTCCTCCTGGTGGCAACAGTACGGCATTTTCAGCCTGCTGCGGCACCACAGCACTCGGTGGTTTTAAAAATGTGATGTGTGACTCACTGGAAGTTGCTGGGTGTGCCGATGTCGGCCTTGGTCAGCTTCTTCTTCTTGCTTTTGGTTTTCTTGTCCTTGCGTGTCAGTCCGCTGTGGCTCAGCATGTTGTTGAGGTGGTACGGCTGCTGGTGGCTGTGGGAGTTGTGGAATCGGACGTTGTTGATCTCTGGGTTCTTGATGTCCACTGTGGCCATGGGCAGAACTGGACCTGCGGGCATTAATTCAACACAAAGGTAAAATCCTGACCATGCTAGGTGGCTAATGCTACCAAAACAAAAAGGTTAGCTTTAGATGCTAACACATCCAGAAGGAAGAAGGCCCCATCTGAATCCTCTGGCTGCTTTTAACCCTCTCCATGTCAAACAGCCGAACCCATGTTAATCCTGGTTGTTGGCCTAATCAATAACTAAAAGCCTTTACTCAGTACTTTGGATGTATTACAAGAACTGAATGACTAAAACTGAGACTGAGCTGTTTTTGGGTGCTTGTGACACAAGATTGCAAATGGGAAAGCCTGTGGCCACTGTGCCAGAGCCACCCACAACGCAGCACTGTTCCTGGAGGACTTTCTTATCCAGCATTCTTGTGCTGTTCCATAGTCATTTAAATTTCTAATATGTGAGCAAGTTACTCAAATAACGCCTACTTGAAATACCGCTCTGACACAGAAGACAAACTGCTTTTCGGATGGTCAGTTAGCTTTGGAAACCAGCTGGTCATCCACACACACTCACAGGACAGTCAGTGTCCACAGCTGTCCAAAATGAGCGCAGTGCTTCTTTGCACGCCTCTTCGAGCACTAAAAGTAAGCAAAACAAACCTGACCAGCAACAACCTGTAAGTTCTGACAGCTGAAGCAGCAGTGAGCATCCATTCAAGCCGACTGCGTTTAGTTTGTCAATGAGCATCAGTTGGATTTAACAGTTCACATCAGTCAACAAGAGACTCAGGTGAGCACTCACCATTCTCTGACATTGTGAGTGCTCCCTGAAGTGAAGTGTTTTTATCTCACAGCGACGACAAGAACAATACATTCAAACTGCAGGAAGGAGGCAAACAAACATGTCCCCAACAGAGAGGAAAATCCATAGCAACACTACACTGTTACTCATGTTTCACAGCTGAAATGTCAGAAATAACCTGTGCGACTGGAGAGGAACTTGAGTGAAAGAATGATTTCAGGCACAAAGCTAATTGAAGAGGCGACTAATCCTGCTCTTTACAGCATCAGTGCTTACCAACAGTCAGAGGACTTAATAAAAATAAACCGTCTTCTGGGCTGACATGCAGAAGCAGAGGACAAACTCTAAATTAAGCTCTGATGCACTGGGATCATTACAACTTTCTTCATGGTGGTGTTCAGGTGCAGGCAAACAGTTTTTGATTAAATTAGATTTGATTCATGATGATTAATTTACATTAGATAAAGACCAATGTTGCTTTAAGTGCTTCTCAGAAACTTGAGAACATAATTTATTTTTTACATTCAAATTCAACAAGTGAGCAACTCTGCTGTAACCCTGAGCATAAAACTATGTCAAGTTCACATTATAGACTAGACACATTTTCTGGTTCTAATGTTGTAGATTTATTTTCCCTGGCAAATGCAAAACTACTAAAACATTATTTGGTACATTTACAAAAGAGTTGAGCGGGAATATATATATATATAAAACCCTGCATCACTTTCATTATTATGTATATTTAAAAAAAACCCATAATCCCACACAGCCGCAGGTGCTTAAGTTCAGGCACTTTACTGATTCATTTGCATTGTTTGTGTTGACATCAGCCTGATATTGGCAAACGTTTGCTTCCAACAGGAACAGACTGAATAAAGTAGAATCCATACATTGTTCACTCGACTTTTACAGTCTCACTTCTCATAGCCAGAGATAATATCTCTTCCACAAAGTGAACAGAGCTCGGATCACTCTTTTTTCAGTGTTACTAGATCAGACCAAGTAAAATCTTGATTATTAAAAAGTGCTCAATCAGACATGAAGTGGACATGTTCGGATGTCATCAGATTAATGGAAAGGAGTGCCTGTCTGAAGGGGCTTAATGGTTTAACAGTCATTAAGGAACACCAACGAGATACCAGTACACACAGAACAAACATTCAGCAGCAGTGACTGGAGATTTGTGAACAACAGTG